TCCCGAAAATGCTGTTTTGAAAAAAATCGGACATAAAGTTTTTGACCCTTGTTCAGTTTCTTTGAAAGTCAAGGAGAGTTTTCTCTATAACCAAACAAATGTACACACAAATGAAACCAAACTTCTCCTATAGGTAGGGCAATGCTCACTTTTTGTGTAGGTCAAGATTTACGGAAACCCACAAAATTTCCGCTTGTCCCAACCCCCACAGACTTGAGGAGTAGTTTTTTTAACTTGTTTTCAAAGTCAGTCTCTGGGAGCCTGCTCTTGTTGATCCAAACAGAAGGGACAAGGATTCTTTCGCCAGGAGATCCACCTGCTCGTTTCCTCGGATGCCCACATGAGTGGAGAGACATGCGGGCACTATATTTTCCTGGTTCCATTAAAGTGTGTATTTTTCGTTTTAATTTAATTATTTTTTGGTACCTGAATGTATAATTTCTGAGTGACGAGAGCAGAAATGTCTTTTTGGAGAAGGCTGTATGAAAGCAAAAACAGTTCCAGCGTTCAGTGCAGATAATATATATAATACAGTAATACAGACATACAATGTATAATTATTATTTATGTTTTATTACATATCTTTCTTTCTTATATCTAGTTTGTTTGTTGCAGCACATTGTGGACCTTCATTACAGCTATGCGACACGAGTCTTCAAACCAGCGTAAGCCACTTGGTAAAGGGACCGGGTCCGATAAGATACCAATAATGAGTCAATAGTGAGTAACAGGGCGACCCCGGCCTAGATTTTAGATAGTCTTTTGTCTATCACCAAAATACGGACGAGGGCAGGAGGTACCTGAGTCATAAGCCACCGGATTCCCTCACTGCTGTATATAATGATTCGCCAATCTCGCTTGGGGTTACAATATTCGCTGATCTTCCTTCACTGCCACATTGCAAATTCCCCGCGACGTTCCGGTGAAGTATCTGGTTTATGAACACGCGAAGTGCGTTTGATTTGCCAGCTTAGGGGAAATATTCAGAAGTGACCTTGAATGATACAGAGATGGGAGGATCACAAGAAGCTGAAGCTCAAGGGTAAGTCGTAAAAAAAACTTCTTCTTCTCCTCCTCCTCCTCCTCCTTTTCCTCCTCCTCCTCCTCCTCCTCCTTCTTCTTCTTCTTCTTCTTCTTCTTCTTCTTCTTCTTCTTCTTCTTCTTCTTCTTCTTCTTCTTCTTTCCACCGATAGCAATCAACAGATATCGATAGGACATCTTTCGATCTATAATAGTGTTGCTGTATTGATTTTTTCCATATCTGTGGCATATTTTGAAACTATAAGTTAACTCTTACCTCACAACTAACCAGTTTCCTTTTCTTCTCTTTATATTAACATCATGGCACCAAAAACCGTCATCTTCGCCAGCGACTGGTTTGAATTTAGTCCACGTATTCGTTTTTAGCATCCTTGCTTTCGACACGTGCATCATTCAGCTGCAAAACAAGCTTTTTTTGCACTGCTAGAACAGGGTTTTGTTATTATTACTTTTTAATGTGTGGGGTTGGGGAAAGGGGAGGGGGGGGGGGTACTTGATCTTTCCCAAGAGGACTAAAAACTTACTCCCCACGACTTAACCAGCATCAGCCAGTGGTGAAGCGTTTGACAGTTTGACGTCGTTCGCAGGATACCTGAGTTGGATTCCCTAGTGGGGTGGAACTGTTATTGAGTACACATGTACTTGTATTTCGATCTTTCTGCTGGGATGTTGTATTGCTCTCACACCAGATTGGCCCTGACCGGCAGAGTCGGGAGTCTTCCTCCTACATTATCTAAATTTTGTCGGCAGAGGTGTAAAAACACCTGAATTAAATTTTTTTAAACTTTGAATCCCCAAATATCGTGGAATAAGGGGTGTAAGAAACTACAGAAAAAAACATGATTGTCAAACGACCAATATACTTGAAGCAAGAACTGAGCCAGCTCCTTTTTGTATGAGTCTGTGTTCACTAATAATTCAGCCTCTGGTTGTTTAATTTCAACTGAATTCACAGCGAAGTCGGGTCTGGGATTGTCTTTCGATCATGGCTACCTTTGGTATGCTCAAACGCTCTTTTTGTAGATCTGTGTGATAAAACGCACGAATTGTCGGCATGCTGTTCAACCGTGCTAAACTCAGTAAGCAACATTTTTGTAGAGAGAACACACACACACACACACACACATACACACACACACACACTCACACACACTCACACACACTCACACACACACACACACACGCGCGTGCGCCCCCCGTCGCTCCGCACTTGATATACCAGTTTATTTCTGTTAATAGAGGCGCATGGAGCTTTGGTCCTTAATATATTCTCCAGCCAACTCCACCTCTTATATGGGTGCGGCTTTCTGGACCGGACCATCTGATAAGCAGCTGTACATGTAGTAAAATAAAAAGTAGGCGATCCCCCCAACCCCCCCCCCCCCCCCAAAAAAAAAACCCCACAAAAAACAATAACCAACAAACAAACAAATAAACAAAGAAATCGACTCAATTTAATTTGGGAAGTGGGCAACAATCCTGCCTCTCAGAAATGACCCGGGCTGAGAGTCTGCAGAAAGACCAAGATACTACACTGTACTGTATGTATAACCTAAGAATTCTCTGCACATGGGAACCGAACACAGGTCTTCTGTGCGCTTGGGCAAAGCACCTAACAGATGCACCACAGACGCTGGTTGACGTGTGAAAATGGGTTAAACTTGTGTAGAAACGAAAACACACTGACGTGTACAATAACCAGAGATAAGTAATGTTTATCGGTAAAGCAAGGCTGTAACGACCGACAGCGCGGGAAAAGCTATTATCTTTATCTTTAGAAGATTACCGAAAACTTTGGCCCAATAAATTTGCGTCGTGGCCTTAGCAGGTTGCCCAGCATGACGACATAAAGCAACGTTGCGTGACCTACATTTACATAGTCACATGGGCTTGACAGAAAGTCCAAAAATAGAAATTGACTCAAAAACATCATCTTTGTCCTCAAGGAGATTAACATTGAAGGCGCAAGTTATGAAAAGTTCACGGTTAGGTCCCGTGTGTCATGAAAATGAAAAACCTTATGTGTGTCTATCTGTTCACATTATTATAATATTTTTATTCTGGCAGAGATTAAATTAACAACAATAAGATCCCCACTCCCACCCCTTTTTCTGAAATACTATACAGCTACACAAAACGACCAGCAGGGGCTAAAATAGACAAACAAACATACAGAAAACAGCCATAACAAAATCAGTCAATAATTCTGCTAGCAAAAAAACATATAAACAAAAAACAAAGCAATAGCAAGGCAACAATCTTCCTTTGTCTTTTTCGTCAATGTATTTGGTAGTTAACTAAAAAAAACACACACAAAAAACAACTACATTATTAAATGACAAAATATAAGTTAGATACATACTGAATTTGTAAAATGGTTCAAGGTTCCCAATACACATAAGTTTGATGATGATGGTGGAGGTAGTGGTCATCATCATCATCATTGCCATCATTAACATTAACGAAAGCATTAACAAAAGTATATTTTTATGATAGCAAAGATAGAATATCTTCTATTTAAGAAGGCTGATATCTTGCACGTGTCTATTTATAAAAATGTCCTTACTTTTCTTACCTCTGAAAGTACGATTCAATAATGAACACTATGCACGAGAGAGTGAGATTTGACCTTTGTGTCGCACGTTAGATATTATTTGGAATACTATTGGAGGTTGGGGGGGGGGGGGGGGGATGTCTGTTGTAATGAAATGGAGACTAGTCATGTGGATTCTCATGGTTTTACGCTCGATTTTTGGTAGCCTTATCATACCATACATGCACATGCATGAGCTAAGAAATTGAATTTGAACCAGCTGTTTGGGTGTTGGGAGTCCTGTCAGACCTTTATTCTAGTATCAAGTCTTTATGGAATTTCCTTTAAGTATCTCAATCGAATGCCCCTGAATTTGCCCTTTTTAGGGGGGGGAGGGGCGGTTGGATTGCTTTTAGTTGTTTTTTCTTGGGGGGGGGGTTGTTTGGTTGTTTGGTTGTTGTTGTTTTGTTTTTTTGGGGGTTTTTTTTTTGGGGGGGGGGGCGCTGGCCATTTTTCTTGGTCCTGGGGCAGATGGCCGTCAAATTCGAAGATTCCACTTCATAAATAATTTCAGTGTAGATAGGTAGGGACGTTACATCTTTATGATTTCGAAAATAGCTCACCAGATTTATTGTTGTTATTGTTGTTGTTGTTGTTGTTGTTGTTGTTGTTGTTGTTGTTGTTGTTGTTGTTTGTTTTGTTGTTTGTTTTTTTGCTTTTTTGTACCTAAACATTTCCCAACATTAGTTATCTGTCATTGAAGTCTTGAATATGATTCACAATGATGCAGATGATTTTGACTCTGTAGATATCTACGTCGAGCCACCAATGGTAACTTAATGACCGATGAAGACAGCATGATTGGTGATTTCTCTGGTAACAGCAACGAGCTCCTTGTACTTTCACAATACGGTCTTCAGTAAATGAAATTAATGTACTGGTGATGCTGACTACCACATACCAGTTTGCCTAGCAAGACGTATCCAATATAACCAAGCTACAAAGAATCATGACGGAACATATTTCTTGGGATTCACCGAAAAATGAAAAAAGGGCGGGGGGGGGGGGGTATGAGGATGAGTTCATGGGTGCCCACCGGGTATAGGAGGATACTAATGAGTTCCGAACAGCGTATGGACTACCCACATACACGAGGGCGGATATTCTATGAGATCCCAGTAAATCCATCTTGATTGTTATCTATCAGAATGTTTATTGCATGGATAATTTGTTATGTTTGTTCTTTGTTATGTTTATTGTTTATTTTAAAAATAATTAAAAAGGAGAGATGTTTGATGTTTGGAGTGCTGGAAAACTTGGATGACAACATCGCCTGCTTTTAAGGTGGAACATTTTTCAGTATAAGAGTTAAATGAGTCAGGTTAGGTTAATGATTGCATTTATACATTTATATTTTCAGGCAATTCCCACCTGCTGGTGCCCCCTATCAGCCTCAGCATGGCAACCCCCCGTCTTTTGCCCCGCCCCCTCAAAGTGCAGCTCTCCCCACGACCACAGCCGTCCCGCCCCCTATGGCCTCCAGCTTCCCTGTGTACAACAGCATGTCTGAGTCAAACAGCTCACCTCCCACGGAAGGAACACTGAACGACCTCCCGGGATACAGCAGGAAGTCTTTAGTAGAGGCGTACCTGCTTGCCATTTCCCCTTTAGGACTGATAGGAGCTCATCACTTCTATCTGCGACGCTATTATTGGGGCATACTCTATTTCTGCACTATAGGCCTGTTTGGATGTGGGTATTTGATCGACTGGTTTCGACTTCCTTTTCTTGTTCGCGAAGCTAACGCTAAAATCACAACCTACGGACAAATTGGAGAAAACAAAAACAAGAAATCACTGACAGATGCATATGTGTTGTGGTTTCCGTTCGGTCTGTTCGGGTTCCATCACTATTACCTTGGTAATTACGTATGGGGACTTGCCTTCACTCTCACTATCGGCCTTTTCGGTATTGGTTGGTTAATTGACGGAATTCAAATGTCCAGATTGGTCAACAATGCGAACCAGCGTCTGCAAGGCATAAATAGGAGTGATAAATCAGTGGCTGTGTCTTACATGCTAGGAGTGACCCCTCCGGTAGGAATTGTGGGGGCTCATCACTACTATCTGAATCGTCCTGTCTGGGGTGTGACCTACACATTCACCCTAGGTCTCCTGGGTGTTGGTTATGTGTCGGATTGGTTCCGCATGCCTTGTCTTGTGAAAAGAGCGAAGGCTGCAGAGGCTGGGATACTGCTTGAAAAGAAATACGTGGATGATGCGTACATATTGTGGTTTCCCTTCGGTCTCATTGGTTTCCATCATTTCTATCTTGGCCGCCCGATTTGGGGGTTTCTCTATCTATTCACTCTGGGTCTCCTTGGACTGGGGTGGTTTATTGACGTATTCCGGATCCCGTTCCTTGTCAAAGAGTTCAATGAGAAACACGAACAACAACTTAACGCCATATCGACCAACTACAGTTCCAATGCGTCTAGAATCAGCGGTATGGACAACTTCCCTTCTGGCGGACAACAGACACCGGCGACAGTCGAAGTGGCCCACCCAGGAGCGTACAACCCAACAGCTCCTCAGGGCCCAGCGATGCCAGGACCAATGCCAGGACTATACCCCCAAGCTCCTTACAACATTAATTCTCCTCTGTATCAACAGTATCCAGGTGAATACGATAATCCAGGTTTCTATCAGAACCCTGCACCATATCCTGTGGGCCCCGGCCTGGAACATCCACCTGCTGTACTTCCACCATTTGCCGTCCAGCCTCCAGCTTATACCGAAAGCGGGGACAGTCACCAGAGGCAGGCCACAGACAACCCCCCACCCTACGAGGCGAGCAGCGACAGTGCTGTGGGGGTTAATAAAAACTGAGGGAAGAGACACACCAGACGAATCATTATTGAAAGCTGATTTCGTCTGAGCTAGAGCCGAAATCAGAATCCACTGATTTTGTCCCAGAGAGGTGCCTGCATTGCCTATAGTGCATATAAAGGGTGTTTTTTATCCTGATAAATCTGTAAACACAGCTGATGCCTCTACGGCTTTATGTTCCAGACCAAGAGGCAGCGTATAAGCTACAAATATTACAACATCTCTACGCTGGCCTTCGTAGTTACGTCAATATAAGTCATGAAATACTTTTATTACAATAAGAACTATAAATTATACGCTACTTGGTGGGTGACTTTTATGAAGCTACATTCTCATAAACTGCGTTTGGATGACAAATGTTAAGGAAAAAAACAAATCATTAATGCTAAGTTAAAGTGGAATTTTGTTGGGTTGTTTTTGCTCTTTTCTTTCGCCTGGGCTGAAAATGAGACGAATCGTCATAAGTCGCCTGATTCTGTTTTCCTTAAATCATTACACGCAGTTCACAGGTGACATCTGCGTTAAAAATGAACCATTTTTTAATTTTTTTTTAATTTTAAGAAATACTGTTATATCTCTTATTCAACTTTTATTTTAACATAATATTTCTATTCTTGATGAAACTCGCTCACTGACATACTAATTGACATTAATTGTAAGAGATTCGAGGACAGAAAATTTGGTTCAGCCCATAGGCCTGTACTAATTTTCATTTATCTATAACGAAACTTTTTCGCCCTAGCAACATATTTCTTTTTTTTTTCTTTTTTTTCTTTCTTTTTTCTTCTTTTTTGAGTGACAAGTAGGCAATTGTGTGTGTCAGATGCGAGATTAGAACAAAAAACACAAAACACCTAATGATTCCCGGGATCGTTGAACAAGATTCTTATCTTGTCGAGTTGAGTGTTTCACAACCGATTCAAGAACAACCCAGCTACTTGTTAATCAGACACTTGACATCTTTAAAAAGAACTCTTGTGTCAAAACATAAAAAGACTCAAAAGCTGACATTATACTTTACAGTAATATACCAAAACAAATTTGTGTTTACGGACTGAGGCCTAATAAATACTCATGCATGGGGCGTTCACCCCTCACTATCGTCACATAACAATTTACGCAATTTAAACGCAGAAAACTGTGTGTACTTTGTAGGTCGAATTCTGCTCACAGAGGGAGCTTACTTTGCATTCATGTCGACGAACTCTTAAGTACATAATATAGTAATTGGGTCAATGTTCTGAAGTATACTTCTACATTAAAAAACTTCTGTTTTCCACATAACTCAACGATTTTAGTAAATATGTCACTTGTAGAACGGTGGCTTGTTACTATGACTTACGTTATTATTAAAAACAGGGATGTTTGAAAGAGTTTTATTATATAATATGTTATTTAGACTTCTTCATATGAGTATAATGTTGCTCGGTATTAGATGTGGGGAGGATTGAGAGAGAGAGAGAGAGAGA